TCCTATTAAATTGTATTACTGACTTGGAGTCTCGCACTGGTTTTACTTTCAAAGCAACACAGAACCGTAAAATACCCGAGTTCCTCAAAGATTACTGGGATAACTGTGGAAATAGTGGAATAATCTTAGTCATGACTTTGTCCATAAGTCTGGTCATTATTATACTAATTGCAATTGCTTATAGTCAAACTTGAATACACCAGCTTTAAAAGGTTACTATATACAATATTGCTTCATGCCAAGAGGTTCTAGAAACTAACCTTATGTGGAAAATAAATAGCAAATATCTGTTATATGCTTCCAGATATCTTTAAAATTGCTTAGGCCAATCCTTAATGGAAGAGTATCAAGATCAATATTTGACTGTATTTGACTTTAATGGTTGATATTGAAATAAAAGGAAGAAAAGTAGCCTGATTTCATGGAGAGAGTTAGAGGCTAATTAGGCTGTAGACTGCAAAGGATGGTAATGGATAGCACACCAGGATGGATTTCAAGTTGTAACTAATCTGCATATTTAGATTTTTTTTTTCCCTGCATGTTTTTGAGGCATAGAGTAATGTATCCAGTGTGGGGGAAGGGCCTTTTCCTGGACAGCCAGATCTGTTACCAAACTCTGGATTATGTAAATACCTGATCACCCAGTTGGTAAAGATGTTAGATACAATGTAAATCTATTTTTTAAAAAACTGTTAAAATGTTTTTTTAAATGTAAATCTGCTTTTTAAAACAATTGCATAAACCCAGACAGAATTTGAGCTTTCAGAGCTCTGACTCTGAGGATATATCCAAAGTGCAGGAGACTTTTGTGGCCTCTACTGTGAGCTTTTATAGCCTTCTTTCTCCTTCTACCTCAGCTGTTGTATTTTTCGCAGGTGTATGGAGCTGAAGCTAAATATTCTGATTATTCTTCCAGAAAAGCTCTCCAGTCAGCCATACAGATCAGCTCCAGGGAACCATAATGATTTTGATGAAATCTCCTTAACCTTTTATAAACACTTTAAAACAGGTCTTTTTTATCAGAACAGAATGCTTTGATTTTTTAAGTTACTTCACCTTTATGTATCATACAGAATGGAATTTTAACATGAAAATGAAATGCTTTCATTTCAGTGATAGTAAATGTTTAAATTAACATCAAAAAGCACTTTGAAGGAAAAGAAAACCCAAACTTGCATACTCATTTTTGGAATGAGCAGATTTTAAACTTTCAGAATTCACTATCTTCTATTTGCACACTGCTTCCCATGTACAGTAAAATATGTTTGTGGAAGTGTACCAGATATAGTGATAGATGGACTGAAAAAGGAGGTAATTTCCTAGAAGGTAATTTATATTTGTGCACTGTATATACCAGTATACAGGAACAGAATCTGTTTTATTAGCAGCATGATGCTGCTACCTGTATTCAGCCCAGGTTTTCTCAACATTTTTTCTACCTAGGCATCAGCCTTGGTATTTCAGTAAAGAACTTTGAACTCCTGCTAAGATGTTTTTGTTACCATGAAGTATAGATAATAAAAAGGAGGGCTGGCTCTCATAGCTGTTCTAGAATATCTCTTTTAAAAAGGAATTTTACACGCAGGCTAGTCAAACCTTTGAAGTACCCACAGCATTAACATATAACTTCCCAACCATTTTTTCAACTTTTACAAGGACAAGCTTAGTTTAAAAATGTCCAGTTACTTACCTAGATTTAAATATTCAACTGGAATGTTCCTCTTAATTTCAAACAGGGAAAGAACTGATCATTTGAGATTCAAGTTTAGCTTCCTAATCAAGTGCTGGAAGTGGGATGCTGTTCTCCTAACGCTATGTCTTTTAGCCCTCTAAAAACTAAATATCTACTAGCCTTCAGTTGCTTCTACTAGCTTCAGTTGCCAGTCCAGAGGAGAGAAATGCCTTTAATAATGGGAAGCCCTCCAGAGGTGTTTGCTTGCTCCTTAAATGTCTTGGACATTAAAGGTGCAGAACACTGTTTCCACCTGAGCATTGAGCTGTCTGTCTTCTTAATATGCTTTGTATGTTCCATTTTGGGGTGCTCAGAATAAATTCCAAGTATTGTATTTTTCTGAAAGTGGAAATCTCTTTGCTTTCTGCCGTCCATCTTATGGTGTCAGTTTGGGTATGTTACAGCAGCTCAGCAAAGCATTTATGTAAAGCTCTCTTGGTGAGGGATGCTCTTTGGAGTTTCAAATATTTTGCAATTAATTTTGTTCTTTCGTTCTGGCTTTTTCAGGAAATAGGGCATGATTCCTCTTGTGATTTGGGGTGCCCGTCAGAAATATTGGCACTGTTGACCTTAAATGTAAGGTGGAAAGAGTGCCAAGTGTATACAAGGGAAGTTGTGACTATACACCTGTAGCAAACAACTTTAATGCTGCTGGGTGCACTTTTCAAAAGTAACTTAGGAGTGGCATTCTCAGGAGTGATTTGGGCTCTTTGGTATAACTCTTCACAAGTTTTATTGTAGATTCCTGAATCACTTCACAGGTAAAAGTTTTCTTGTCATCCTTATTAACAGCCGATAACTCCATGATGGTTTCTTTTCTTTTTCCTCTCTCTCTCTTCCTCAGCTCCCTTTTTTAGAATCTGGATACTTTTTTTATCACAATGGCCTTGCTAAAGCCAGGAGAAGACGCAGCCTTCAACACAAGCTTCGTCTGGAAAAGGACTCCAGGGTAAGTATTTCATCATTATGTGCAGCTGTCATGTTTTCTTTGTGACCAGACAATTTTTTTTATGAGATCAGGATGATGATCAAATCTGTGGCTACGATTATGGGTTTTTTCCACCCCTTGCATGCTTGTTTCAAGCTTAGTGGCTTCTGTATGCACACACTTCCCAAATAGCCTCAGCTTTCATTTTTATTTCACTGTTAGAAGTAGTCATTCTCTGAGATGCATCCTCTCTCCAGTAAGACTCGGGGATACCATAGTCACTAGGACATCTCCTGCACTCTGTAGTGTGGGGAGATGCCATCTGAGGTACATCTCTGGTTGTCCCCTCCATGAATCCTGCTACCCATGGGTTATTCAGCCCTGCATACCTTGTGGTATGAATGGTGGCAAAAAACTTTCTCAGCAATCATCATAGAGTCCCTTTTTCTCAGGGAATAGTATAAACACCAGTTACGCGAGGAGTGTAAGCTGTCAAACTTGAGTAGTTCTCTTAGAGGCTCTTGATTGCGGTCTACAAATGGTGTACTCAGTTTTGAGAAGCATAAACCTCTCAGACAGGAGAAAAAGGCCCCTTTTGTGGAAAGCTGTGAGCTGGCACTGACAAATTCTTTTTCCTTATATGCAGAGTTTTTGCATCAGTTTAATACTGGGCTGAAGTTGGACCAGGTAGCACAAAAAGTATATTAACTGCCCAAAGAAAGTAGGTTGGGCTGAGGAATGATATCATGACAGCAAATAACTTATTTTTTAATCCTTCAGTAAGTTTTCAATTCACTGCACTGTGAAGAGGGGGAGATAGTTTTATTCCAGACAGAATGTAATTGCCAGATTTGTGTTATTGAAACACCCATGACAAAGAAACACTTCAGTAGGAAGAAGAGGAAAATAGGTTAAATAAGATCATGATTGTTGTTGTGACACCAGGGCAAGCATGGTCTAATGAACTCCCAGCTTAATTTTCCTGCTTCTGCAGAAATTTCACGTAATTCCAGGTCCAACTAGGATGCCCATAGCTAGTCACTTCTGTGGTTGAGAGCCATGTGAGGGAACCACACAGGTTCCAGGTGCTGCCTGCCCCATTACTCTGTCCTGAGATGCTGATAGCTGGGTGCTCTAGGGGACCTCTTCCTGGTCCCCTTCTCTAAAGAGAAACCAGATACAGGTGAGGGGTTATGAGGCAGAGACATACCCAACCTGTCTTGAACAGAAATTTGCAGGTTTCCATTGTTTTGTTTACTGAGTAGGGATCAGAGACCAAATCACTGGGGAAAATCTGCAATTAGTGGATACTAAAGCAAATATCCTGAGATGTGTTTCCTGTCTCTGAACCACCCAGTCTTGTAAAGTCATTCATGAGAAAATGCACGAGAAAATTTAAGAGAAAAAGCACATGATTAATTTAGAACATTGAAAAGTAGTGGCTGGGTACAGTCACTGTGCAGAGTCATCCCATATGCTTTTTGGAAATAAACATTTCTGTAAGTCTCTGAAAATTTTACAAACACCTGTGATAGCTATATGAAACCACCAATTCTCACTGCAGCCTAATATTACATGTCTGAGTACTCCTATACTAATTCCAGACTGGCTCTTGCATTGATACCTCTAGACTAAGTGTCTGCACTGCTATTAAGAGCAGCTTAAGTGAATTTACCTTCTTGTTCAGAGATGTTCCCTTTTGTAGTCATCTGATATTTGCAGTTTCTATGCTCCCAGTTGGCTTCTGTCACATGCAGTGAAATCTCATTTTTCCTGATAATCTCCACCTCATCGTGCCACTGCATACCAATGGCTTCCTCCTTTGATTCCAGGGAATAAAGCTGTGTTTAAATAACTGAGAGTATCTCCCATGTGAGAAAGAGGACGACCCTGGGTGAATTCTGACTTCGTGGTTTGCACTGGAAAATGGAAGGGGAATGAAACAATGTTTCATGACATTTTGTCATCTAGCCTGCCCTGTTGAATAGTCCTTGAGCTCTTATGATCCCGCATAGGTCAGTTGCTTTATGTAATACAATTTGAGAGCAATTAAAATCATTAGCCTTATCTTCCTTCTTCTTTTCTATGTGAGGTTTCTTTTCTATGTTAAGCCATAAAAATTCCTGTCAAATTTGTGTATAAATGGAAACATGAGCTGTGTTGACAGTACTTAATTTCAAACTCTAAAAGTAATTTCTGAATGTAATGGCAGCTCTCTAGACCATTTACGATCAATTTTACTTAGCAACAAATGTCAGCACTGTCATGGTTAATGTGTTAATGTGTGAAACCAAGAATAAAATGTTCTTGTTTTTGGGCTAGCCTGGAAGAAAACTTCCACCACAGGGCTATAAAAACCGCTCAGGAACCTTTATGGTAAACGCTGTTGCAAAAAGTTGCTTGGCCCTACCCAATTGTGAGAAAGTGGGCTGCACTTATTCTGTATACTTTTCACTTTTAAGGAGGTTACAATGCCTACCTAATTTTGGTTACTATCTGAAAAACAGCACAGATGTTCACTCAATTAATGTTTTTTAGTCAAGTAAGTCCCTTGAGGATCCATGTCAGTTTTTCAGGAGTCTAAGATAGATGACACAGCACTATGCAGACAGGTTACTGCATCATTTCCATGATCTGTATGTCTTTTAAAATGCTCAAAAATGCTTTGTTGTGTAAAGTTTACCATATGTTTGAACCAAAATAATTTGGAGCTATGCTGTAACCATTACAGCAGTTATATGATAAACATCATGGCAGTCAAGAGAGTGGGAATGGAATGTTATTAAATTCCTAGATATCCAGGAAGAACTAATCTTTGTTTTGAAGAACCATCTCAAATACAATGGTTTTAACATTTTTTAATAGATATTGCTGAAGCCTGAAGCAGTCCAGGCAGTGAATGAAGGTGCATGTAGTGTTGTCACAGAGTGTGTTGTCCTATTGAACTGTTCAAGGAAAAAGTGCGCGTATCCACATTGACATCAAAATGTGTCGCTTCCTAAGTGCAGGTCACAACACAGTCTCAGAGCGAGGGGACCTTTAGAGAGTCTTCCCTGTGGACAAGGGGAAATAGAGCTTCTGTAAGAGCAAACTTTGCTTTTAATAATGAGGGCCAGTGGTATGTTTCATCAATGTGATTGCCCTGGAAAAGTGAATCAGAAACACGGATATACTTCATATTGCCTTGTTAGCTAGTACAGCAGAAGCAGGATGGGGAAATGGAGTCCTGTCCTGCTCCACCACAGCTAAAAGAAAACAAATCCATGGGATTTGATTCTGTAGGGGCCTGATGCTGGCTGGATGCTAGGTGCCTGCCAATTCACTCTGTCACTCTCCTTCCCAGCAGAATGGGGAGAGAAAATATAATGAAGGGTTGAGAGGACTGGAAGAGATCAATCACCAAATCATGGGTAAAATAGGCTGTAATTAGATATATGAATTGAATTTATTACACTAACAAAATCAGAGCAGGATTATGAAAAGTAAAATGAACCCTTAAAAACACCTTCCCCCCACCCCTCCCTCCTTCCCAGCTCTCCTTCCTACTCCAGCAGTGCAAGGAGACAGGGAGTGAGTGGGATTGTGGTCAGTTCATCACCCGTAGTTTCTTCTGTTGCTCAGGGAGAGGAGTTGTTCCCTTGTGCCAGTGTGGGGCCCACAGGAGACAGTTCCACAAACTTGAACCTGAGTCCATCTCATGAGCAACTGCTGCACACTGCTGCAGTGTGAGTCCATCCCATGGGCAGCAGTCCTCCCAAAACTGCTGCAGTATGGGTCACTCTTCCATGGGGTGTAGTCCTTCAGGAACAGGCTGCTCTAGTGTGGCCTCCTCTCTCCATGGGCCTCCCACAGGGTCACAGCCTCCTCTCAGGCACCCACCTGGCATGGGATCTCTGCATCCCCATGGATCTCTGTGGGCTGCAAGGCACAGCTGCCTCACCATGGCCTGCACCACAGGCTGCAGAGCAATCCCAGCTCTGGTGCCTGGAGCACCTCCTGCTCCTCCTTTTCCACTGGCCTTGGTGTTTGCAGAGTTGGTGCTCTCACATATTCCCTCCCCACTCTTTTCTGGTAATTACAGCTGCACAATAACTTCTTTTTTTTTTCCTTCTTAAATGTGTTATCACGAAGGTATTACCATCATTTCTAATTGTCCCAAGCTGGCCAGTGGCAAGTCTGTCTTTGGAGCTGCCAGGGCTTGTCTCTGCCAGCCATGGTGGAAGGTTCTATCAGCTTTAGGAGCTTCTCACAAAAGCCACTCCTGCAGCCCCACTGCTACCAGAACCAGGCCATTCAAACCCAATACAGCTTCATTGTTATTTTCAAAGATGACTTACCTTCTGTTCTCCTGTACTATAAATACAGCTGTGGCCCCAGCTGTATTATTATGTAAACATTTTGAAAAGTGGCCACATAAATAAGAGGAAAGAAAAAATATATAGTCATTTTGTTACCTTTCTGACCAATACTTCTGTATTTTTTGCTGTTGGTGGGTATTTTCTGTTAGTAAATAGTGTTCTCCTTCAGTAGAAGGGTTTAAACATAGCTTGTTTTCTCAAAGATTATTTTGGTTTTTTTCAAGTTTTAGATAAAACCATTTCCCTCCCACACACTCTCTCTTGTCAGACAGCTGCCAAGATTAATCCTGCTCATGAAAGAGGCTATAATATACAGAGAGGAGCTGAGTCCCATTACTGATATATCTATGCTAATGCATCTGTGTTGGTATTGGGAGAATAAATATGTATGTGTGGAGGGAGAAAAGGTTAAATGAAAATCTTCCACTGAGAGTGAGTTTGGCAGTTCGATGATGACTTCTTTGCAAAGAAATGTCCCAGTGATGGCAGTTGTTACGTTTCAGAAAGGGGTTAGAAAGGGAGACTTGGCTGATCCAGGAGTCTGAGGAGAGTGGATGCAGAGCTTCTTACAGGAGTAGTTAACCAGGTGCCCATGGTTAACAGTACTCCAAAACTGCTTGTCTCATGGGACAAGGAGAAGAAGGGGGCTGTTAATGCAGAAGA